AAATTCAGGTAGTGGCTTTTGGACGAGAGTGAATCCAAAGTAGGTATTTCTTTTCCCTCTTGCAGCAGGTAGATGGGGCCTTGAATATTTGCTTCTCTGACCACACTTTGAAACATGATTCTAAGAATATAAAAGAAAAGGGGTATAGGGGCTGGAGAGATGGCTCAGCAGTTAAGAGCACTGGCTGCTCTTCCAGAGGTCCTGAGTTCAATTCCCAGCAACCACATGGTGGCTCACAACCATCCTGATCTGATGCCCTCTTCTGGAATGCAGGCATACATATAAGCAGAACACTGCATACATAAATCTTAAGAACAAAACAAAACAAAAAACCCCGAGATATATTTTGCAGTCACTCACCTATCATCATCCATCATAGCCCTGACCAGGCCTTGTTTGGGACTCTGCTAAAGGCCAAGCATCCCCCCTCCACCCTGAACATACTGTTAGCATGTTTCAAGAGTCTCATGAACAGCCAGGCATGATGCTAGGGGTAAGATGATCAGGAAATCTGAGCTATATAGTAAATCTGGCAGCAGTCTGGGCTACATGATATTCTGTCTCAAACAAGGGAGGTGGGGTCACTGGAAAGATGGTTCAGCATCAGTGGTTAAGAGTGCTTAGGGATCAATCATGAGGACCAGAGTTCAGATCCCAGCACCGATGTCAGACAGCTCACTGACATTCTCTCTAGCCTTAGTGGGTACACACACACACACACACACACACACACACACACACACACTTACACATACTCACACAGAGACATAAATAACTACTTGTAACTCCAGTTCCAGGGGCTGTAACACCCTCTTCTGGCACCATGAGCACCAACCATACAAATAGTACACAGATATACATGTTGGCAAAATAGCCATATACATAAACATTTTGTTGTTGTTGTTTTTTCAAGACAGGGTTTCTCTGTCCTGGAACTAGCTCTGTAGGCTGGCTTTGAAGTCTCAGAGATCTGACTTCCTCTGCCTCCTGAGTTCTGGGTAAACATTTTTTTAAGTCTTAAATAAATGCAGTTGAGAGCCAGTGAGATGGTCCAGTGTGTAAAGGTACTCACTGCTAAAGGTGATGACCTGAGTTCAGTTCACAGAACCAGTTAGTGAAAGGAGATAATCAACTCCTACAAGTTGCCCTCTGACCTCCACATGTACAGGAAAACCACCCCCAGATAAATAATGCAAAATAAGGCAGGGGTGGTTGAGGGTGATTGGAAGACGCCTGACACAGCCTCTACACACAGGCATACACATCCCCATGTGAGCACATGTATGTCCATGTGCAAACGAATGCAATGGACATACCACAACATACACAAAAGACAAGGGGGATAGAAGAACTAGGTACGGTAAAGGCACATATAGGAAGGCAGTGACATAAGGGCTCACTGGCAGCTAATTTAGCCTGCTCGGTGAGCTCAGCCCCCTCTCCCCCCAATGGACCTGAGGAATAACACTTAACGCTGCCTTCAAGCCTCCAGCACAAGAACACTCACAGGAAGAAAATTAGCAACAAAGGTTAATTTTTTTTGAGACAAGGTCTCTCTATTATGTAGCTCTGACTGTACTGAAATTTTCATAGGCCAGGCTAGCCTCAAACTCACCAAGATCTGGCTACCACCATACCCAGAGTAATTTTTCTTTAAAAATTACTGTTACATGATCACTAAAAAAATTATCCACATAAGACTTTTTCCGCTCCCAGTTTTACAGTGAAGCACTCAATCTGCACTAGTCTCACCCCCCACAACTATTTGAGTACTATAGTTTTCATTTATTAACAGACATTTCCTTACTCTTGATTTGACTTTCACTGCATTTTATTTTTTACAGTGCAAGGAACAGAACCTAGACCCCTGTGAATGCTGGACAAGAGTTCAAAAACTGAACTATGTTTTTAACCCTTCATTTTCTTTTTGTTTTTTGTATTTTTTTTTTCCTTATGTAATTCTCCTGGCTCTCTTGGAACTCACTTTGTAGACCAGGCTGGCTTCAAACTCAGAGATTTACTTGCCTTTGCCTCTTGAGTGCTGAGATTAAAGGTGTGCACTATTGTGCCTGGCCCAGGCTAGCTTTAAACTTTTTGAGACAGGGTTTCTCTGTGGCTTTGGAGGCTGTCCTGGAACTCGCTCTGTAGACCAGGCTGGCCTCGAACTCACAGAGATCCGCCTGCCTCTGCTTCCCAGTGCTGGGACTGAAGGTGTGGTGTCTTTTAATTCCTGCACTGGGAAGACAGAGGCAGGCAGAATTCTGTTAGTTTAAGGGTTTCCAGGTTTACATAGTTCCAGGGCAGCCAGGGCTACACAGTGAGATAGTGCTCTTGCAGAGGGACCATGTTCAGTTCCCAGGGCCCACAGCAGCCAGCTTACAAACACCTGCAATGCCAGCTCCAAAATGATCCAACAGCTCTGCCGCCACACACAACTTTAGGAATGATGATTTATTATTATCTTTAAAGAAGTTAGAAGAACTAGGCAGTGGTGGCACCTGCCTTTAGACCAGCACTCAGAAGGCAAAGGCAGGCAAACATTGAGGCCAGCCTGGTCTACAGAGTGAGTTCCAGGACCGCCAGGGCTACAGAGAAACCCTGTCTTGAAAACTGGAAAAGGAAAAGAGGAACTGTCAAGTATCTGGGTTTGTACTTGAAAGTCTCACTGGACCATAGCTGTTACCATGCTCCCATTTATGCAAAGGACTCACCTAAGCTTTCAAAATCTGTGGTAACTTTTCTGGCCCACTGAAGGCTGATAACCAGCTCAAATACCAATCCTTGTTTGATATATAATAACATACAGTTTGTTAGGTATAACTGTCATTTTATCATTCTTTTTCCTTAGAAAAGCGACATATGGTCAGCTCCTGAAAAAGCCTTCTCTAGATCTTAATACATTTTTTTTTGTTCTCAGGGCTCCTTTAGATTGCTACTTGTGCTTTTCACTGAGTGAATCTCCTTGAGATCCCCTAGGGCATTTCCACAATTCTGGTAAAACAATACAGGGCATGTAGTATGTGAGAGATTTTTCTTTCACATAGGATCTCACTATGTCACTATGTAGGCTTAGCTAGTCTAGAACTCAAGAGATCTGCCTGCTCTGAGGGATTTTTGAGGGGGTCAGGAAAATGTTGTTCAGGACTGTATGTATTCCATGCTGGCTTCACACACCTTGTGTAGTTTAGGATGACCTTCCTTGAACTCAATTCCCCTGCATCTACCTCCAAGAGCTGGCATTAAAGGCCTAGAGGACCATGTCCAGGCTTTTTTATGCTGGATATAGGTTTTTATGCTGGACAACAGACATAACATACAATAATTCTTTCTAGAAATTCATACATGACACACATTGGGATTTCCTTTTAAATAACTAGAAGAAAATGTATTAGGTTGGAATGTCTTCTTTTATTTGGTTATTTTTTTGATACAGTGTCTCATGTAGCATCAGCCAGTTTTGAACTCACTATGATCTGGGGCCTTGAACTCACTAAGATCTTTCATTGTCACCTCCCTAGTGCTTACAGATGTGACACCATGCCCAGTCAAGCATGCCTTCTGACCTTCTATTTGGCATATTTGGGGAAGGAGGGGCATGCATGACAATGCATTTGTGGAGGCCACTGGGTAATTGTACAGCTGGCTCTCTCTGCACCTTTACAAAGACTCCAGAGAGTGGACTGAGGTGCTCAGGCTTGGTGACTAGTGCTTTCACCTCTGAGCCAGCTCACCAGGCCCACTGACCTTCAATGTGATCCAGCAAAATCCATGGAACAGTTCACGAAGGAAAGTCACCAAAAAGCAAGGATAAATGTTGTCATTCTCACATTATGGTGAACATCTTACAAAGAAAGCACACTGGGAAAATGCCTAAATAAGCATTTAAAAAAAATTGTAGATACCAAGAGGGCAATAACTGGTCTGACACATAAGATTCCAAAATTATGCTTGTTTAAGTGGTTAAAAACAAAACAGCATCTGTTGGAATAACTGAGTAAGTCAGTTGTTTAAATGTTGTATTGATACCCCCAAATACAAACTCTGAGTACTATTTTTCCTAAAGTTACTATGAAAATGCTCATAATACCTGATATCTGGTGGCGCACACCTTTAATCCCAGCACTCGGGAGGCAGAGGCAGGCGGATCTCTGTGAGTTCGAGGCCAACCTGGTCTACAAAGTGAGTTCCAGGACAGCCTCCAAAGCCACAGAGAAACCCCGTCTCGAAAAACAAAAAAAACCAAAACAAAACAAAAAAAAAACCTGATATCAATGAGTTCTTCAGCCCAAAGGCACTGGTCACAGGGCAAACCAGGGAATATGAACACTTTTAAGACACTTATAAAGAGTTGTGTAAGACAATGGCTCAGATGCCCATCATTTCATCAAGAATCACATAACTCACTTTCCAAAACAAGTTAAAGCTGGGCAACTCTGTCAGATACTTCTCATCTGTCTGGAATTTATTCTACACCTCCTTGGTTATTATTTTTTTTAAAGATTTATTTGTTTATTACAAATACAACACCCTGCCTCCATGTACATCAGAAGAGGGCACCAGATCTCATTACAGATGTTTGTAAGCCACCATGTGGTTGCTGGGAATTGAACTCATGACCTCTGGAAGAGCAGCCAGTGCTTTTAACCTCTGAGCCATCTCTCCAGCCCCCGGTTATTATTATTTTTTTAATGTTTTTGTGTACATTGGTGCTTTGTCTGCATGTGTGTCTGTATGAGGGTTACAGACAATTGTGAGAGCTGCCATGTGGGTGCTGAGAATTGAACCCAGATCCTCCGGAAGAGCAGTCAGTGTAATTCTTAACCTGAGGACATTGGACATTTCTGTTTCAACACAAGTTAATATGACAAAATACGCAAATGACGCAATAAATACATAGGTTTGGGTTTCCAGCTATACAGATAAATATGTAAGTCATTAGTTAACACATCATCTTACAATTTAACCAGGGAGATTACATTTGAACTGACAGCAGTACTCACCTTTAAGGCAGAGGCTAAGCTGGTCATATGCTCATGGAGGGCACCCTCAGACTCCTTATAGGTCAAGCAAGTGAACTGGTACTCTTCAGGGTCAAAAGCATCAGCCCCCTGTTGCTCCACATCACTGGCTACTCCCACATAGTAGTCCTCTATGTCCCCAGGGTCCTCTTCCTCTTCCTCTTCCTCACAGTTTGGGTCATAGTCCTCTTCATTGCTGTCAGACCCCTGGCTGTTCATGTCCACGGACATCTTAATATCCAGCCAAGTTGCAGGTCAGGAAATCAGTTGCTTTTTTTCCTCCCTCCAACTTTTATTGTTTTCTCAAATGCATTAGCGCTTTTTGTCTTCTAAGAGAGAGGAAAAAAAGTATAACTATTTCTCTATTAGAAATTATAGTGGAAATCATCAAGAATCAAAATAACACAGCCCTAGCCCTGCTCCTACTAAGTGTTATCTCAATTCTTACTCAGATCTGCCTGCTTCCTGAGTGCTGAGCGTAAAGGTGTGCAATGCCAACCACCACTGCCCAGCTGTCTATCTCAAATCTGGTTTCATTAAGAACACCTCAGTGTCAATCAATCTTGCTGGTCTATGCTTATCAAAGGGAAATCCTTTCACTAAGAGACAGAAGCCCATGATGACAAACATGAAAGGCATGAAAATGCAAAGATATCTTCCCCAGGACAAGGACTCATATTCTAAAGACACTTGTCTTCAATCCTGAAATCAATTCAAATCTGGTACCAGCATGGTAGAAGTGACTCAAGTTATCCCCTGACTTCTATACAAGCAGCACTCACACACAGACATACACAATAAACTAATGGCTTTCTTTTTTAAAGGACCCCAGAATTCCAATGGATTTGCCCTTTTTGCCAGAGTTCAGGGAAAAATGTATCTTCATAGTTAGCTATACAAAAGGGAGACAACTCTAAAGATTTAGCTACTCAGGTTTAAAGTTTTGCTAATCATGCCTCAGGAATGACAAAGAGAATATACAATGAAGAATACAGTTCTATCTCACTAGGACTGAAAGATAGGTGCATAGATCAGAATCCTTCAGTATCTTCCTCTAGTCTACCACATTAAATAATTTTCCAATTTTAAGAGTTCTGCTGGCCGGGCGTTGGTGGCACATGCCTTTAATCCCAGCACTTGGGAGGCAGAGGCAGGCGGATCTCTGTGAATTCGAGGCCAGCCTGGTCTACAAAAGCTAGTTCCAGGACAGCCTCCAAAGCCACAGAGAAACCTTGTCTCGAAAAACCAAAAAAAAGAGTTCTGCTAAAGCCTTGGATGGTTGAATGTGTCTGCAGCGAGCCCTTAAGATGCTGAGTCAAAAGCTGGGCAGTAGTAGCCAAACCTTTAATCCCAACACTCAAGAGGCAGAGGCAGACAAAACTGAATTGGAGGCCAGCATGATCTACAGAGTAATCCTGCCTCACAGAGATCCGCCTCCCAAGTGCTGGGATTAAAGGCGTGTTGCCACCACTGCCCAGTTAGGTATTTTTGTTTTTAATGTTTAGGTTTCTCCTTTTTATTAGCAGCAGTATATGTACAGGATAATGTATGGGCACACATGCCATGACAAGTGTACAGAGTCAGAAGACAAGTAAGTATGTTTGTTCTCCTACTTTTACATAGGTTCTGGGGATAAAAATCATAGGCTTACACAATACGCACCTCTCACCTGCTGTGACACCTCACCAGTCCTGTCTTAGAATTCTACGTAGCCTAGGCTGGTTTTGAATTTAAGGTTAAACCCTCCTCCTCCAGCTTCCTGAGTGCTGCGATTACAAGTATGAGCCAGTATAATATAACTACCTTTCTTCAACATTTCTTTTTTTATCCCCTTAAGGTTTATGTTAGCCAGGCGGTGGTGCCGCATGCCTTTAATCCCAGCAGGCGGATGGCTGTGAATTTGAGACCAGTCTGGTCTACAAGAGCTAGTTCCAGGACAGCCTCCAAAGCCAGAGAAACCCTGTCTCGAAAAACAAAAACAAAAAAACCCCAAAGTTATATTTCATGCATATAGTGTTCTGCCTGCAAGCCAGAAGAGGGCACCAGATCTCATATATATGGTTGTGAGCCATCATGCGGTTGCTGGGAATTGAACTTAGGACCTATGGAAGAGTAGTTAGTGCTCTTTAACTCTGAGCCATCTCTCCAGTCCTCTTCCACATTTGTTTGTTTGTTTTAGTTTTTCCAGACAGGGTTTCTCTGTGTAGCTTTGCTCGGTAGACCAGGCTGGCCTTAAACACACAGAGATCCACCTGCCTCTGCCTCCTGAGTTCTGGGATTAAAGGCATGCGCCACCAACGCCCAGTCCTCTTCCACATTTCTTAAACCAGACTATCACACTAAAACAAAACTCAAACATATTCTTTAAGTACTAGATAGAACAGGCTGAAATGACATTTTCCATCCAGTATCAGGCCAATCCCATCCTTTCTACAACAAGCATTAGACAGTAATGTGGCAAGCAGAATCACTCCCATACCTTTCTTTAGTCTAGGCACATGGGAGCCTAAAACACGTGATGGTCTAATAAAGAGCTGAACAGCCAATAGCAAGGCAGGAGAAAGATGGGGTGGCTGCAGGCAGACAGCATCAAAAGAGAAATCTGGGAAATGAAGGGACGGGAGAACAAGGGAGAGAAGGATGCTAAGGGCCAGTCACACAGCCAGCCATGGAGTAAGAAGGAAAGTCAGATATGCAAAAGATAAAAGCCCAGAGGAAAAAGAAAGAATGCCTAACTTAAGCTGGCTAGAAACAAAGCCTTATTTATAATAAGACTCTGTGTGATTTACTTGGGAGCAGGGTAGTGGTTCCCAAAAGAGTAAAGAATATAGAGTAAAAACAGCAAAGTGATGTTTGTAACTTAACCTCACTATTGCTTTGTTTTGTTTTTTGAGACAGGGTTTCTCTGTGTAGCTTTGGAGTCTGTCTTGGGACTTGCTGTATAGACCAGGCTGTCCTCAAACTCAGAGATCCACTTACCTCAGCCTCCTCCCAAATGCTGGTATTAAAGGGTTAAAGACGTACATACACCGCCAGGTGTAACTTAATCTCTTTCATAATATTTCTCTTTTATTCTTGAGAATTTCATACTTGTACACAATAAGAACATACCACCCCTCTACAATTTAACTTTTTGAGTGTAGGTGTGGTATATGCTCAGGTATGTATTTGTGTCTTCACATGCATATGAAGGGCAGGGGTCAATGTCTTCCTGTACTACCCTCCACCTTGCTTTTTGTTTTGTTTTTCAAGACAGGGTCTTACTACATAGCACTGGCTGTCACCAGGCTAGCCTAGAACTCGAAGGTCTGCTTGCCTCTACCTCCTAAGTGCTGGATTTAAAGGTGTGCACCACCATCACCCCACTAATCTTGCTAGCCCTCCATTTTTTTGGTTTGTTCTTTTATTTTGGGACAGGTTCTCATTATATATAGCCCCTGCTGTAGTTTTGCCAGTGAACTTGTGGTGGTGGCCACACCCTTTCGGCATGGTTTCAGGTTCAGGTGTGACCCCTTGTAAGGTAGAGGAGGGGCTGGCTTAAGCTCTCTTGGGCTCCGGTGAGAGCATCTGAAGGGCCGAGACTGCATCTTCTAGAGCAGAAGACAGCAGGGGTTATTTACTCATCTGTGAGGGGCTTCCCTATTAAATACCTAACTATTGTTTATCTTGGGTTTGGTGGACTCATTTAAACCCTACCTTCACCGGGCTGGCCTGAATCTCACTATTTATACCATGCTAGCCTCCAAACTCATAGTAATCCACCTGCCTCTATCTCCCAGATGCTGAAACATTAGGGGCATGCATACCTGGCTTACCTTTTCTTTGATTCAGGCTTTTCCCTGAACCTGGGCTCACCAACTGGCTGGAGGAGCTGGCCAGCATGTATTAAGAATCCTCCTTTCGCCAGGCATTGGTGGCGCACGCCTTTAATCCCAGCACTCGGGAGGCAGAGGTAAGCAATCTCTGTGAGTTCAAGGCCAGCCTGGTTTACAGAGCGAGTTCTAGGACAACCTCCAAAACAATACAGAGAAACCCTGTCTCGAAGAAAAAAAAAAAAAGAATCCTTTCTCTGTGCTTCCAGCACTGGAATTGCATGCTATGGAATAATCCTCTCATACACTGTAATGATTTGTCACCTGAATTGGTATAAAAAGCTGATTGCCCAGTAGCCAGGCAGAAGTATACGCGGAGCAACTAAACTAGGGTTGATGGGAAGGAGGGTAAGATCACAGGCCAGAGGGAGAATGAGTTGATCATATAAAATGGGAGAAGTAAAAGCCAGGAACATCAAAAGAAAAACAAGCAAAAATAAAAACCAGGAGCCCCAAGCCGGGCGTTGGTGGCACACGCCTTTAATCCCAGCACTCGGGAGGCAGAGGCAGGCAGATCTCTGTGAGTTCAAGGCCACAAACAAACAAACAAACAAACAAACAGGAGCCCCAGGCCAGCAGATAGATTAACAGAAATGGGTTAAGTTGCTGCTACAATTAATCTAAGCTTCTGTGGGATTATTTTAAAATGGCTGTGGCCACCAACACCCACCACATCTAGCTTTTCATTAGGTTGCTAGGGATTAGAATTCAGATCCTCCAGTTTTTGTGACAAGCATTTTACTGAGTGAACCAGAACCTCTGTTCCTGCAATTTGTTATGGTATTTGTCGTCTTTAAGAGAAAAAGTTAGCTGTCAGGGCATGCCTTCATCCCAGCACCAGGGAGGCAGAGGTAGGCAAATCTGAGTTCGAGGCCAGCCTGGTCTACAGAGTGAGTTTAGGCCAGCTAGGGTTCTCTCTAAAAACAGTAAGAGAGAAAGTTAACCTTGGACTGAAAGATGGTTCAATGGGTAAAGATGCCCGCCACCAAGCCTAGCAACTTGAGTTCAACCCCTGAATCCACATGAAAAAAGAACCAAAGTAGTACTCTGACTTCCACATGCACATCAACATAATAAAATTAAGGAAAGAGTTAATGTTTAAATCACCTGCAGTTTTTAAAGATCTTTCCTGAAGGTACCACCCAAATAGTCTGTTTCATATGATTTCCATCTGAAATGAAAAGAAACAATATTGATGTTTTAAAAACTGATATCCTAGCCGGGTGGTGCACACCTTTAGTCCCAGTACCAGGGAGGCAGAGGCAGGCAGATCTCTGTGAGTTCAAGGCCAGCTTGGCCTTCAAAGAGAGGTCCAGGACAGCCTCCAAAACAATACAGAGAAACCCTGTCTTGAAAAACAAAAAACAAAAACAAAAAAAACAAAACAAAACCCTGATATCCTAGGGCTGGAGAGATGGCTCAGAAGTTAAGAGCACTGGCTGCTGCTCTTCCAGAGGTCCTGAGTTCAATTCCCAGCAACCACATGGTGATAATGAGATCTATAATGAGATCTGGTGCCCTCTTCTGGCCTGCAGACACACAAGCAGAACACTGTATACAAAATAAATCTTTAAACACCCCCCATGATATCTTGCTCTTGCAAGTTTATTGTTTTGTTTTTTCTTCTGGAACAGGGTCGCCATATAATGGCTATCTTGGAACTCTATTGCAGAACAAGCTGGCCTTGAACTCACAGAGAACCACCTGTCTCTGATTCTCAAGTACTGGGATTAAAGGCTTGTGCTACAGTGCCTAGTTGTATTTTGGTTTATTTCACATGGCTGTGGGTGGTGTTCATCTGTGAGTGGAAGTCAGAGGATAGCTAATGGAAGTATGTTCTCTCCTTCAACTCTGTGAGGTCCATGGATTTAACACAGGTCTTCAAGGTTGACAGCAAATGCTTTTACCTGCTGACCTATCCCAGTAGCCCACTCTATCTTTGATTTTCTCTGTAGCTTTGGAGCCTGTCCTGCAACTTGTCCTGTAAACCAGGCTGACCTTGAACTCAGAGATCTGTCTGTCTCTGCCTCCTTAATGCTGGGATTAAAAGTGTGTGCCACCACTGCCCAGCATAGTCACTGTTTCTGAGACAGGATCTTGATATGTATCCCAGGTCTGTCTTCTCCTATGGAATGTAGGAACTATAGGTATGCGCCTCTTCGCCCATAGGAGGAGGAGGACTGAATCCAGAATCTCACACCTGGTTAGCTATATACTAAGTCTTCGACCCCCTACCCTCTTCTAGGGTCTAAGCACCTCTGACTGTCCTGTAAGTATGCAGAACTCTGTGAGTTCAAGGCCAGCCTGGTCTCCAGAGTAAGTTCCAGGGCAGTCAGAGCTGTTACACAGAGAAACCCTGTCTTGGGGAAAGAAAGAAAAAAAAAAAATCAAACACAAGAAAACTGAGTCCTGGTTTTGTTCAAAGGGGCCAATGTGCTACTTTCTTAAATCAGAACATATTCAAGATGTTAAATATGCCTATATCTCGGACAGGAATGACATAATTAGTACTTTTTCCAAGAGCCAAAGTCATCTTCATAATGCCTACCTCTCATTAAGCTGGCTTCCAAGACACGGAGACATAGTCATATACAAAAGCATAAAGATCTCTTAAAATTGACTAACAGATGTTTACTCCAATTATAATTCGTGGCCCTCAATGGTCATTTATTAACTACATTTTCGAAGAAAACTACTTTGACGAAAAATACCAATCAGCAACTTGTTTTAAAACTCGGCATTGACCTGGCATGGAAGCCAGCACTTCGGAGGCAGAGAGACGTATCTCTGAATTTGTGGTCAACCTGGTCTACATAGTGAGCTCCAGGACAGCCAGGATGTAGAGTCTGTCTAAAGACAAAACAAAAACCAACAAAACTCGGCACCGTATCTGTCCTAATAATGGCACGTAGCCACTAAAAACATGGAGCTATTTAAAATGTACTTTAAAAACTAAGTGTATGCCGGGCGTTGGTGGCGCCTTTAATCCCAGCACTCGGGAGGCAGAGGCAGGCGGATCTCTGTGAGTTCGAGGCCAGCCTGGTCTACAAAGTGAGTTCCAGGACAGCCTCCAAAGCCACAGAGAAACCCTGTCTCGAAAAACCAAAAAAAAAAAAAAAAAAAAACCCTAAGTGTGTTTCTCGTAAGTACTAACTACATATCAATTACTAAATGGCCATGTGTGGCAAGTGGATACCATACTCAACACCAAAGGTCTAGAACGTGTTCATCGTGACAAAGTTCTATGGGACAGAGTAACAATCAGAACTAAGGCGAACTCGTCGGAGAACACTACCGCCTCTCTCGAGTCTAGACCAGTGGCGTCGGGCGTGACCGCACATCTCTCTCCGATGCGCCGTGGTCTTCCAGAGATCCGCGCGGACACCGAACCCACGCGCAGAAAGGACCTTTTATATGACGGGCGTTAACAAACTGTACGAGAGACGCAGCAAAAGCTCCCAAACACGACCCGAGCCTCCGAGGTGGCGCGTTTTCCAGGAGCGCCCAGCGGGCCAGGCCCAAGTGTACCGGCGCCCGCCAGCCAGAGACGCTGGCCTCCGACCTCTCGGTGAGCTCAGGAGGCAACGCAAAGAGAAACCCCAGAGACACACCGGGAGCTTAGCGGCGCCGGTTGTTGCCTCCGGGATATCTCCCAGTCAGCAGGGAACGCCGCGACCCGGGACACCCCGACTCGCAGGCGGCGGCGAAGGCGGAGCCCCGATCGCGCCGGGGAGGCACGAGGGGACCCCCCCCAGACAGAGTAAACAAGGCCTCGACTCCCGCCGCGCACTTACCGGAAGCCGCGGCCTTGCGGCCGCAGAGCCCAGGCCGACCAGACCAGGTCAAGCCGGGCCAAAAGAGTCTGACTGGGGCGTAGCGGCAGCGGAGGCGTCAGCGGACACAGGTCGGGCCCGCGCTGCTTCCTCCGGCGGAGTCGTCCCCGCACCTCCGGAAGTGTTTTGCGCAGGCGCGTCACTTCCGGTAGGGGTCGGCCCGCGGTCGTCCGAAAGGCTAAGAGGCTTCTAACAAATGCGTAGTCGTAGGAATTGCTTCCTAGCGGTGTTGCATCGAGACTGCTGAGAGGTCGCTTTTGAATGAATGGTATAGATATTTCTCTCTGCTTTAACCTTCCAGTGTAGCACGAATTCTAATTGGTCTTAATAAAAACCTCAAGTCAGATATAGGGAAAAGTGCTGAAAAACCAAAAGCAGAGCAGCCAGCCACTAGTACTTACCTCAGACGGCATGGGCGATCCTGTCTCCAGGAATCCTCACACTGAATGCATAAGATCCTTTCTCTCCCTTCTTATATTGCTCTCTCTGCCCAGCCAAATCCCTTCCTGTTCAGTGAATTCAAGCCGTGCCGTGGTGGTGGCGCATGCCTTTAATCCCAGCACTCCGAGGCAGAGGCAGGCAGATCTCTGTGAGTTCAAGACCAGCCTGGTCTACAAGAGCGAGTTCCAGGACAGCCTCCAAAACAATACAGAGAAACCCTGTCTCAAAAAAAAAAAAAAAAAAGAAAGAAAGAAAGAAAGAAAGAAAGAAAGAAAGAAAGAAAGAAAAAAAAGAAAAAAAGAAAAAAAAACCCCACTCAATTAATACCATGCTTCTGGGGGGCAGTTTAAATACCCTGTGGGAAGCCGGGCGTTGGTGGCGCACGCCTTTAATCCCAGCACTCGGGAGGCAGAGGCAGGCGGATCTCTGTGAGTTCGAGGCCAGCCTGGTCTACAAAGTGAGTTCCAGGACAGCTTCCAAAGCCACAGAGAAACCCTGTCTCGAAAAACAAAAAAAACAAAACAAAACAAAACAAAAACCCTGTGGGAGTGGTCTTGAGCATGTCTGGGGGAGGAGTCATCATTTGGCAGACTTTCTGAGATTCAGCAGGGTTTGGAGGGAGATAGGGGAAGGGGACTTGGGTGGAACTTTAACCATAACATTCCAGACTCTTTGGGTATATGGATCCCTGGGGCTGGGGTGAAGCTCCCACCATAACAACTACCTTCCTAGCCAGCCACATTGACTTTCACTCACCTTACAGGACTGATATTTTTTGCTTTGCTTTGTAAGTGACCCACAATATAGCCATGGTTGGTCAGTTTTGCTACTTGACTACCAGGCCCACAATTCATGCATCTTTTGTGCTTTCTTCCACAATTTTTGCCCACAACATGTACTTAGGACTCAAGTCCATTCTAGGACTGGTCACCAAGTGTTGTGGATAGATAGGAGGCCCTCTCAAGTAGCAGCTGCTTCATGATGTCAATGCCAGAGTAAGGCCAGTGATGTTAGGTAGTAAATGTTTGGCTGTGAAAATCTGTAGATAACCTCTTTCTACCTTTTCTCAAATGTATGTTCTGGTATTCAAGACACTCATCTGAGTGGGGTGTGGTGGTGAATGCCTGTAACCACATTACTCAGGAGACTGAAGCAGAAAGGAAAACTGTGTATAATAGACTCTTTTATGTAGAACTATAACTTGGGGGACTTGGGAGTTGACTTGGCTGCTAAGAACTCTTGCTGCTCCTTCGGAAGACCTGAGTTCTGTTTCCTCTGTGATCCACATCCCAAGTGCCTCACAGTGTCCTGTAACTCCAGTTCCAGGGGATCTAAAGCCATCTTCTGACCTCTTCACTCACATATACACATAAATAAACAAAACAATATTAGGGTTTTTTTTTGGTTTGTCAAGACAGAGTTTCTCTGTGTAACAGCCCTAGCTCTCTTGGAACTAACTCTGTATACCAGGCTGGCCTAGAACACACAGATATCCACTTGACTGTGTCTCCTGAGTGCTGGGATTTAAGGTGAGAGTCAGCACTCCCAAGGATAGTATGTTGTAGGCTGTCATGGTTTTGTTACAGCAATAGAAAGCGAACTAGGACAACCAGTATACATGGGTGCTTAATTTGACAAAAACATATCCATGTAAGTTGTGGTGACACCAGTAGAGGATTCAAATATTACATTTCCTGCAAACTAATGTCAGCTATTACTTTTGAGTTACTGGTAACAGATGCACTCCAGTAATGCAAGGGGGTGGGGGGATGGGGGGAGACAGCCTTTCTATAGATGTCTGCACTGAAAAATTGCAGAATGAATATGCTCACCTATCAAGCGCCATTTTATAGGAGAGACTTGATGGGACCTTGGATTTTGATCTGGAGTCTTGGGACCAATTCCAGCCCCCTTTCCCTGCAGGTACTGTGGGATAGTTGTCCTTAGGATTCTAATACATGCACTCAATAGTGACTAAGAGCATTTGTGCTCTTGCAGAGGCCCAGAGTTCAGTTCGCAACACCCACAGGGAGGTTCATGACTGCCTTTTTCTGGCTTCCATGGGCTCATGCACACACAGAGACTCACACAAAAGCATAATGGTTTTCAGAAATTTAGAGTCACTCTCAAGCTCCAGTATGGTGACATAACCCTGCACACCTATAATCTCTTGGGCTTCATGTGCTGTACCATAGTGGTACCTAAAAAGGGTGTATGCGACCTCTGTGGAGTGCACGAATACATAGGACTACAGAAGACCAGAGGGGGAAAAAAACTACTCAAGTCCAAGAAGGCTTCCTGGAGGAGTAAGTCCATGGCAGACACTCCTAAGCCCCTCCCATTCAGCGGCAGGAAAAACCCCTCCCACTGAGGAGGAGCTGCGGCCGGAAGTAGATTTAGGGCGGAAGCCTAGCTAGGCCAAGTGGGCCCGCCTTCCGACCTGCCCTAGGCTCCGCCCACCCTAATGTAGGCGAAGGGTCAGCGGAGCCTGAAGTGTAGCTGGGGCTGTAGCGCCAGACCTAGACCGCCCGGAGCTGCCCGACAGACTGACGGAAGACTGACCATGGCAGACGAGCCGAAGCCCATCAGTCCGATTAAGAACTTCCTGGCCGGCGGCTTTGGCGGCGTGTGCCTCGTGTTTGTGGGGCACCCCCTGGACACGGTCAAGGTGCGCGGAGTCCGGGTTGGGGGCTTGGGGGGCGGGGAGGCCCGAGGCGATCCGGAAAGTAGGGTCCCGGTGAGATGCTGCCTCTGGACAGGAGTGGGGCGGGTAGATGCTTCCGTGGGAAGTTTACGGAGGGTTGGCACGTAGTTTATAAGTAGAGCGCCGTCTGCTTAACAGGGCGAAAGGCTCTGCGCTTAACACCCTCAGCACTCAAAAAGAAAAAAATCTTTAGAACCAGTCTAAGGAGTCGGCAGAGGCTGTCTCTCACGCCCCCAAAAGCCAGGCAATTCCTATTTCAAGGTCTTCGTTTGACAGCCTTTTCTGACCCTACACTATTTCTTTGGAGATGAAAAAGAAAACCTCTCTCTAAACCTGTTTCCAGTTAACCTAATATTTTGTTATAAAGATTGAAACGGGGTCCCTGTAAACCCAGCCTCCCCAAAGCAAAGGACAAAGGTAACATAGGTGTCCTTTGACACAGTCTCGTGCAGCGAGCGTGCCTCATAGCTCCTCTTGTGCACTTTGCTTTGCCCAAGAGGCCACTTTCAGCCAGTCACTCACCGCAGGGTAAGTGTCATAACCTATTGCATAGTCGTTCCCATAGGAAGCAGTGTCAGGTGAGGGAATTGTGGTCACAGGAAACTCACTAGACCTTCTTGAACCTTTCTCTCCTCACCCCTCTGTTCTTCCCCTCACTACCCTCAACAAGGTCTTGCTGGAGACCAAAGTCTGTATCCTGTTACTTATTGGTTTGTTTTGTTTTTATTCCTAGATGTAGACTTGAAGGAAAATGATAGGTCTGATAGGTCATAGCAAGGATAAGCCTGTGGGAGAAATGAGTCTTTTGTGTGTGTGGATGTGTGTTGCTGGGCATGGAACCCAGAGAACACATGAGTCTCATAAGGGTTGGTAACCTATGTTGGGGGCTTGTGAGGGTATCACATCCAGTTTCCTCAGAAAGAAAATAGTATGTAAGGCTTCTTCCTGTTGGCAGACTTGTACAGCAGGCTATCTGATGGCTTCTGTTAAAGCTAACCAAAGCCAGAACACATTCTGGAGGAGTCTGTAGTATTGGGAGGGAGCCTGTGGTATTCTGCAGTGTGACATCAAATCTTGGCAGGCAAGGAAGACTGTACTTGTGTTACTGCTTCTAAGGCAGTGGTTCATTCAAGTAGCTCTATTTATATGGCCTTTATTCCTAATCTTATTCTACAGAGGCAGAAATCTTGTTCTGCAACAAAAAACAGTATCCTTACCATCTCCTTATATAAATGTTGCTCAGATCTTGTATCCTCTTGTTCTTGATGTTCCTCTTAGCAAGGGCCCAGTGACCTCTGTCCTGAATTATAAATGACTAAAAATGCTCACTGACATGTTGACACCAGAAGACTTTTCCTTTTAGCATAAGCCAAACCCACAGATTGCTGCCTGCTGTCCTTTTGACCTCAGAGAACGAGGTGGTCACCAACTAAACCCTGATACTTTTGTGATTTTTTTTGTTTTCTTTTGGTGGTAGGGTCTCATGTATCCTGTGCTGACCTCAAATTCAGTATGTAGCAGAAGACGACCTTGAACTTCTGGTCCTTCTTCCACCACCCAAGTTCTTGAAGGATCTTTCAGAGTTTCAAGGCAACTGAGTCATGGCCCACATGTGCTGTTAACTGAGAATTGTAACACTTCAGAACTGGGGCTTGGAAAATTTTTATGAGAGGTAGGGTTGGAGCAGGCATTGAGAAACTGGATGATTGGATCTCTGTGAGTTCGAGGCCAGCCTGGTCTACAAAGCGAGTTCCAGGACAGCTTTCAAGACAATACAGAGAAACCCTGTCTCGAAAAACAAAAAACAAACAAACAAACAAACAAAAAACTGGATGATTATTTCAGGACATGACAACCCGAGCCTTTAATCTTAGCACTCTGGAAGCAGAGGCAGGCAGATCTCTGTGAGTTCCAGGAGCAAGTTCCAGTACAGCTAGGGCTGTTACAAAGAGAAACCCTGTCTTGAAAAACTAAAAACAAA